TAGCTCCTGGCATTTCTACTAGGAGCAAGAAGCTACTAGTAACTAGTAACAAAGGGCATCGCTACTAGGGCAAGAAGCTACTAGTAGCTCCTGGCATTTCTACTAGGAGCAAGAATCTACCAGTAACAAAGGGCATCGCTACTAGCAACAAGGGCATCGCTACTAGTAGCAAGGACGCTACTAATCCCGTGGATATAGTGGGTGGTAGAACTCATAACTGCGGCAATGACCAACCAACCCCCTTTGTGCTGAAAAAACAATACACCAAACTGGGTGTCATTGGTGTGCTGTGACATGCTATAACCAACCTATGACACCGGGTTCTTCAAAAAAAGCCATCTACCTCATCTACCTCTGAACCATTCTCCCCTTCTCCATGACCCCTGGACCCCCAACTTCAAATTTGTCTGACATCTCTCCATGCTGAGGCCTTCAAAAAGACCAGCCATATTGGTTGAAGTTGTGGGGAAGTACATACCAACATTGATGTTGGAGGTTCAAGGGGGGTGTTTGCCAGAGTTGCATGGCTGTTATTTTTTCAAGAACCCTGTATACATGGATGCAGAGATACTTGAGAGCTGGCTTGAGGGTGGGAGATCCAAAGTCCACAGAAACCACAAATTGTTCTAGTCTGCGGTTTCTTCCCTTCAGCCATGGGGCAATGAACAATAACAACTTCCAAAAACATTCAACAATTGAGGCTTATTAGGTTGGAGGCGATCGCTATCAGGTTGGTGGCCATTGCTACTAGCTTGGAGGCCATTGCTATTAGCTTGGAGGCCATTGCCATTAGCTTGGAGGCCATTGCTATTAGGTTGGAGGACATTGCTATTAGCTTGGAGGCCATTGATATTGGCTTGGAGGCCACTGCTATTGTATAGGTTGGAGGCAATTCCTATTGGCTTGGAGGCCGTTGCTGCTAGCTTGGAGGCCATTGCTATTAGGTTGGAGGCCAGTGCTATTATATGTATATATAATATATGTTGGAGGCAATTGCTATTAGCTTGGAGGCCAATGCTGCTAGCTTGGAGGCCATAGGCCATTGCTATTAGGTTGGAGGCCATTGCTATTATATAGAAGCTTGGAGGCCATTGCTATTGGCTTGGAGGCCATTGCTGCTAGCTTGGAGGCCATTGCTATTAGGTTGGCTTCTTCTGTGCCCAAGCCACTCAGCAGGTCTCGGGTCAACGGCAGACGTCGCTCCATCTGCAGATCATACCAGTAGTCGTCGGCCCAAAAGCCCGACGGCGCGATGAAGAGGAGGTTCCGGGTCCTGTGGTGAACAACGATCATTGGCCCAAAACCCAAAGCGACTCGGGTAGGGTGCGACAATTAATTCAAAATCAAGGGGAACCAATTTAGTAGCAAGAAACTACTAGGAACAAAGGGCATCGGAGCAAGAAGCCACTAGTAGCTCGTGGCCATACTACCAGTAGCAAGAAGCTACTAGCAAAGTGGTCTATGATTGTCATGGGTAGTGAGTGTTCATGTTCTTGAGTCGGACCCAGTTGACTCTACTTAGTCATGCTTCAATCCTGGTTGAAAAACGAATGTCCAGTGCTGATCTGGAAATAAAGCACCGGCCACCTCTGCTCACAGGCATTAAACCGCCAAAGAGCTGACTTGCTCCTCTCTCAGCCCCCCCACAGCGGATCAGAAAACACAAGAATGTCAGTCCCAGGATTATATACATATGTATATATATACGAAAACAAATATATAAGTTACAGATAGTTACAGTACATGTTTTATCATAAATTATGCTAAAGCTTAAAGCTGGCGCTGAAACCGCAAATTCTTATCATATCTTATCATAACAGTTGTTGTCTTGCTCTGTTGTTGCTGCATGAGCATGAAATCAACACTTGTGTGTGTGTGTTGGTCTTTCTCGAAAGGGACCAGGTTGGGGTACCTAATCGAAGCCATTGGTGGGGGTGAGACGTCCAGCAGAAAGATCAGAAAAACGAAACCCAACAATTCAACCCATGGGTGCCAGTGTTTGCATGTGCTTACAAGGCAAATGATTGTCCATGCAGTGCTACTACTTTTCAGTCTCTTCGGACCTTGGTAGTATGACTCGAACCAAAGCTGATCAAATCCCGTCACCCTTCTGGGCAGCCCCCCATAGACCACTTGGGATTTGAGCCAAGCAGATTATCGAGGAAAATCGAACTCGCCCGGCACTCATCCCAGCTGATCCAAGCATCCAGCTCGACTCCGCCACGGTTTTGGCCGAGGCTTCGCAGTGGGACACCCCGACATGCCTCGACCTGGCCGATCTCAGAGCCAAAGGCAAAGCTCTTTCCCAGACAAGCTTACGCACGTTTTAAACATGATTTCAAGAAGAACCCCGGTGTCCGGTCACACCCACAGAAGCGCGGCTGTTCTCCTTGCAGCCGAAATGTTGGGCCTCAAGTGCCTGTAGGGGATTTTGGACCACAGGCCAGCGCTTGCGATTGAGTATGGCGCGCGTGAAACCGGGCTGCTGCCTCCTCCATGGCCAACCCACAACTCCTGCCAGCGCGACCCACCGCGCGGTGGAAGAGCTAACAAGGCGAGGCAGCGTCCGCGCCATAGCGTCGGGGGCTTCGCTCGAGCGGTGTCGTTATTGCATGTTCTTTGGTGACCCTCAAATGAACAGCTGGTCAATGTCATGTTTGATGTCAGGTACAGCCGGTACAGGTACTTGATCTGTATTTGGGGGCTCTGTGGGAGTCGGCAAGGGGACTGAGCTATATATAACTGATGTGACCCTGCTTTTGGCCTTGAACAACTCAACTCACGATCAATCTGAGGCTAGGGGGACTGGAACAGTAACAACTTGCGCCAAAAAAGAGGCCCCTCATGCCGGTGCATGACTCATACTCATCTGAGCCTTGGTCAAGATGGGCTGAAGTGGTGTGCAGGACGAAGCCCTGAGAATTGGCCCATTAGCTGCCACTGGCGTGTGATCATTTTCAGGGCACTGCTACGACCTGCGCCCCTGACGCTGCCCGAGAATTGCATGTTGGAGGCCATCGTTATTAGCTTCCTTTTGTTGTTAGATAGTAGCGATGCCCTTTGTTACTAGTAGCTACGTGTTCCTAGTAGTACGGCCAGGAGCCCCTAGTAGCGTCCTTGCTCCTAGTAGTAAGGCCAGGAGCCCCTAATAGCTTCCTTTTGTTATTGGAGGCCGAAAACTGCAATTCTTTTTACTGTAAGTTGTATCAAAACTGCCTCGGTACGTCGAAGCATTGGCCCTGAGCTCACCACGACTCGTGCGCCGTGCGCTCAACTCGGTGTCACCCCTGGTGCGAGGCTCGCGAGGCTCGCCAGGCGCACTGAAACCAGTGGTGTGTGTGTGTGTGAAGCCGAAATCAACAAGGTTGGAGCCCCTGACTTAGACCTATAAATTCAGAAACAATTCTTGTACCTAGCCTAGAGGTCTCCCCATTTAGAGAAGGAATAGCAGGATGGTTTTTGGACGTATTTCTGCTTTCACAAAGCTTATTTGGTATTGGGGGGCCCGGGGGCATCGCTATAGATACGGTACAAAATCAATCAAAATCATACAAATATCAGTTGGGTCAACCAGGGATCGCATGAAAATATCAACGGTGTCCATGACGTTCATGTTCTGGGTATGCCAACTGGTGTGGTCCAAAGACCGAATCCAAGAGGTGGCCCCCCACCAGGAAGATCTCGAAAACAGCTCTGCCAAAGGGAAATAGGCAGTGGGTCGTGGGTCATGCCTTTGGTAACCTAGCTTCGTATAGAGCATTCTCAAAACCCATGAGCCACCCAAACTCGTGAAGGTATCAGCAGCCACTGTAGCAGTGAAAAGAAAATAGATTGGATCTCATTGGTGCGGAGATCTCCCTATTCCTGTTTACACCCACAGGCGTTGTTTGGTCAGACCGCTCCACGCTCCAGCGCATCGGCCTGGCGGTGCTGGACTCCTGCTGGTCCTGCGCATGCTTTCGTGGCGGGAGATTGGGAGATGAGTAGTGCATGACCGCATCCACAAACAGCCGAGAAGAAGGTGCAAACATGTACCTGGTCCTGGTTTCATATTATACGGCATGTATTGGAGACCATTAATTTATTCTGTATTTGTTTGGGGGGATCGACCTCTTTCAAGGAGATGAAGACCCACCACCAGCCACTACTAAAACGGAAGTCTGCTAGAGGGTGAAGAATGGGTCTTTTATCACAGGCCCTAACAGAGCCTTGGGCACCTGAAGCAAGACCGTTGATGAACTCATGCTCAAACCATATAGGTTGCTGTATGCACATTTGATTCAAAGGACCAAAAGGATGGACGTCGGCAGCATTCTACCCAACCAACCTCTAGGAAAACTATATAATATTTGTTTTAATATGAACATGAACATGTGAACGTGATAGCTCGACACTGAACGATGTCTGGATGTCACCATGTTGATCCACAAAACCGCTCCTTTAATCAACAAATGGGGGGTCCATGCTACCTCACCAAGCCACTGCTGCCCTGGGTCGCCTCAACCATCAGCAGTGCGGCGCCCAACAGGACGATGCCAAAGGCAGGGCCTGGCAGTAGAACCCCAATTCTCACCCGATGAGCGGAGAAGATGGAAGGGATGGGACCGGGATGCGGGTCTGCACAGCTACTAGCAGCGTTCTTGCTACTAGTAGTAACGCCCTTGTTACTAGTAGCAATGCACCTTGCTACTAGTATCTATTTGCTACTACTCTTGAAAGATTTGAAGATTCCCTGAATTTTTGCAAACTACTTGGTGGAACAGGTGATCAGGCCATTGTTTGGGTGAAGGAGAGTCGTCTGCATGGGAAAACTGGCAACTTCAAAGTTCAGTGCTAAGATCTTCATGGTCCATGGCCTGATACAAGGACTGGGTGACTAGTGTGAAGAGAATTTGTGACTCGTGTGACACCGTGTGACCTTTTTCCAGATGCGTGAACAGTGCGCTGGCACTTGCAAGTACGGTGCCAAACGTGTTTCGCCTGTTTCGCCCAGATTGATCACCCTTGTGCCCCACCTCGACCCTCCATACATCCATAGAGGAAAAGCATCCGAAGAAGCCCACTTGACACTCCACATATTCCTACTTTATGGCCTACAGAATCCTACAGATGGTGTGGCGGGAGAAAGTCTATCCATCTGAGTTACAGTCAGTTACAATTTGGATGCACCGGCCGCGTCGTTTCCTGAGCATCCGCACCGAAGAGAAGCGTCCTGAGGCCCACCGCGTAGTCGCAGCCTTGCAGAAGAATGATTTTGGGTGATGACTTCTGACATCTTTATGACAAAACCGAAAAATGTCCAGGGTCTGGATAACTGCTCTCGGTTTATCAAGGAGATAATGACTTATGACAAAACCGAAAGCAGTATCTTTATCTTGGAGTTGTGGAGATGTTGAACTTGGTGACGAAGTGCGGTGGCCATTTGGCCAACCACCTGACATGCACTCTGCGCCACCAAAAAACTCCCATGTCATTTGCATTTGGCAGATTTGAGGGTCCCAAATGTCCATATGCAATAAATTTCAATAAATGGTATCTACAACGATCTGCCAACAACATCTGACAGCTTGAGAACTTCCATGAGTATCAGGGACATCTGGTCCGTTTCGAGCACAGTCATGTTCTCTTTGAAAGCCAGCTGCACCAAAGCCCACCAACTCATTGAATCACCCTGTTACTGTTGGTGCCACACTCCTGTCCACACTCCTGTCCACACTCCTGTCACACGCTGGACTCTGTCAAAGTCAAATCATGGTCCAAGCCGACATCCAAGACAAGAAGCTGCTAGGGGCTCCTGGCATCGATATTAGGAGCAAGGACGCTACTAGGGGCTCCTGGCCTTACTACTAGGAGCAAGAAGCTACTAGCGGCTCCTGGCATCGCTAGTAGGAACAAGAAGCTACTAGGGGCTCCTGGCATGTCACACCCACAGGTGGGTGAACACCAGTCAGCTGAACCTCAGCACAGTTTCCAAGGATGTTCTTCCCGGACCCGCATCTGACTTCAGATGCATCTGAATCCGACAAACAGATGTTGACGCACTCACCCAAAAATGACGGGCCAGCACCAAAGTCATGACCATTCAGCAACTCCCACGTTTCTTAAACCTTTCACCGCTTTCACCTCCCCCCTGCCTTGATTGCAGGGCTGTGACGTCTCGGGCGGCTCGCAACCGGCGATCCAGCCCGGGACAAAAGCACCTTGCATGGGCGATCCAGGACGAATCAAACCTATGGGCCCAGAATGGCCCAGGAGCCAAAACAAATACAGTACAAATCATGGAACAAACGTCACCTGGTGGAGTAATGATGAAAGTCACTTTTGATGTTCTCCTTTCGCGGTCTGTCAGGCCCTCAGATTCAACCCGCTGCTTCAGTTTTGGCAACTTTCATCTGTTAATGATCAAAACCTCAGAAGCCATATGAAGCCAAAGGACTTGCAGCCACGCGTCAACTCCTTCCAAGGCACCCCTTTCTTCTTTCTCATCATCAAAAAGGAGTCGAATGCACAACAAGGTAGAAAGTATATAGAAATTAGATTTTGCTGTGTCATTGACCTATCGTAGGCATGCAACGATATTCCTGTTGGCAGCCTCGAAATGGATGTAGACCCATTTCTAAACTGTACACTTCGTCGGACTCTTCGTTGGATACACGGTCGTTTCAATGGGCGTTGGATTCTGCAAAACACCTGCCGTCAAAGCGCCGTCAAACATCTGGTCTCAAGCTGTTGAATCTCCACCGTTGGTACGCCCTGGCTGCGAGTCCAGGCTGCTCTCATGTCAACCTTCTAAAGCCCCGGGTGAGAAACCGACCAACCAACCAATTCCAACCACGAAACCGACCAACCCACAAAAAAGGACCTCCTCAAAACCCCCGGGTCAGAAACTCAGCATCCTCGAAATGCATCCATGATCCGGCAAGGCACCGCCGGCCATGCCCAGCAAGTTGATCGGAAGTTGCGCCAGCGCCGAAGCCAAGGGCCTCCGGTGCCCGTGCACCGCGCCCAACCTCGGATTGGTTTCCCGAGACGATCACGGTGGGAGACGATGAGGTTTTCAGAAAGGGTGCAAATCCAAGGGAAGACTTGAAAGAACGATAATGTCAAGTTGCCAAGCTCGCTTTGACTTTGTTTCACAATTAAAAACATAATATACCTTATATAATCCGTAATCATTAAAACAAATATATATATATATACACCATGTTATGGTTTTAACCCATGCATCATCTTTTAATTGAACGTTTTGAAATTGATGGCTTTTGTTTGGTGCGGTCAGAGGGGAGCTTGGTGGATTGACCAGGTCATCAGGCTGGGTCTTGCATGTCAGGGTTGATATAGACCGGTGTTTCTTTATGTTTCGTGTTTCATCGTGTTTCGTGAGGTTGGGGCAAGAAGTGTTCAACCATCTATCGTTTCAACTGCTGAACAGGTGGTTTGAAATGGTTTGCATGGAGCCCCCACCTAAAGTGCTGCATAGTTTGTCAACCTCTCAAACTCCACTCCTGGGGCTCAATGGAACATCGCACCTTCACACATCTTCACACTTCACACACTTATGGATATGCATACGGAACGGAAAGCAGTGCCACACGCCGGCCTAGGGTTCCATTTCCTAAGAGTACCAGTAGGGAACCAGCGAATCCTGGGGGTCTTCAAACGGAGAAGTGGCCCAAAAAGGAAAGAAACGAACGACGATCGCGAGTCGAACAAGATGACGGCGGTCCGTGCACATCTGCAAAAAACGAACCAAAGCCATGTCTTGAGGTTCTGGGCTTAGCCTCGCGCCATTCCGTTTGAAAAAGGCAGGTACGTAGTTCTGGCGTCCCAGAACTATATCACTGTGCGACAGATGCGTCTTCGTTGGCTAGAGACATCTGAAGCACACTCCAGCCCCCTGCTGACTAAAACAATTCGAAAGAATCCCTGTGACTACAAGGGTTACACACACACGCCTCCCCGAGGGGAGGCAAGGTTTTTAAGCTCCGCGCCGAGGGTTGGGTGAGACTAGGTGAACTGACGGAGCTCACGGTAGGTCCCCTGTTCCAAACCTCAAGGTTCCCTTTGATTCCAAGGGTTACACACACACACACACGCCTCCCCGAAGGGAGGCATGTGTGGCCTCCATCCTGCCCGGAAAGGAGGTGGGCACATGTGCGCGCAAAAGGGACAGATGAAAATGAAAAGGACGAGACAGACAAAGGTGTGTGTGGTTGCCGATGAAAAGGAACCAAGTGAAGAGGGACAACCGATGAGCCAAACCTCATTGTAACGAACCTGGGCCACCTAAACCTCGCTGTAAGTAGAGTACGCGTGCGTGTATGTGTACAAACTGAGGTCCGGACGATAGTGCGCGCAAGAGAAAGAAAGGATGAGGATGAAGAGACATGAAGACAGAAGGACATGAAAGAAAAAAAAGGAAAAAAACGTCTGTGGGGGCGGATGAAAGGGGAACCAAATGAAAGGGGACAAACCGATGACAGTCCATACCTCATTGAGAAACCTGTTGCAGAAGCCTAGTTTGCTTGTAAATACGCCACGCGCGAGGAAAGAGGGGGGAGGGGAGGAGAAAAAGAGAAGGAGGGAGAGGAGGCAAAGGTGTTCCCAGCTACGGCACAAGCATCCAAGGACACACCAAAAAGGAAGGGCTCCCAGCTATGACGAAAGCATCCAGGGACGCCCAAGAAAGAGGGTGAGGAGAGGAAAAAGGGAAGGAAAGAAAGAGAGACGGAGAGAAAGGGAGAGGAGAGAAAGGAAGGTGTTCCCAGCTACGAACAATCGTCCAAGGACACACCAAAGAAAGAAAGGGGAGATCCTGAGTATTATAAACATTCAGGAAAACCCCAGAAAGCAAAGAGAGAAAGGGGGAGGGAAGGGGGAGGGAAGGGGGAGAAGGGGGGGCTAAGTTCTCCACACGTTCCAATGAACCTTGAACAAACTTCGGTCGCTGCGACCACGTGCGGCTTGCCCGAGGGCTGCCACCTCTGACCGCTGCGGTCACGTAAAGGCATGAGCCAACTTGGAATTCCAAAGATGAGACAAACATCCCACTTCTTGAGGCATAAGCCAGCTACTGTCCGCTGCGGACATCTGCATTCCCAGAGCCGGGGAACATGGACAAACCCCCGTTCGACGGGTCCACGGGAGGCACTCTGCGGGCTCATCCCGGGTTGGCACGAGGCCAAACACACTTGTGGATATGCATACGGAACGGAAAGCGGTGCCACACGCCGGCCTAGAGTTCCATTTCCTAAGAGTACCAGTAGGGAACCAGCGAATTCTGGGGGTCTTCAAACGGAGAAGTGGCCCAAAAAGGAAAGAAACGAACGACGATCGCGAGTCGAACAAGATGACGGCGGTCCGTGCACATCTGCAAAAAACGAACCAAAGCCATGTCTTGAGGTTCTGGGCTTAGCCTCGCGCCATTCCGTTTGAAAAAGGCAGGTACGTAGTTCTGGCGTCCCAGAACTATATCACTGTGCGACAGATGCGTCTTCGTTGGCTAGAGACATCTGAAGCACACTCCAGCCCCCTGCTGACTAAACAATTCGAAAGAATCCCTGTGACTACAAGGGTTACACACACTCTGACATTGGTTTTCAGTTAACTCAGTTCCCAGGTCAAAAATGGCGAAGTAACGGCAGGGTGAAAGGTCCGAAAAGTTGAAGGTGTTTGAACAAAGGCTGTTTCTCAAGTCTGCAGAGAGTCGGCGGTGGCGAAAACGAGCGGCGCAGCTGACGGCGGCAAAAGGAAAAAGTTTAAGGGGTAGGTATCATGAAGGACCATGAATCAAACAGATCAAATTGGACAGCGTGTTCAACAGTTGTAGCAGGTACGTTTGCAGCCCCCCCCAGTGGCCTCTTCGTTGGCCATCCGCCACTGGGGAGGGGGATGGCCCCCTGCTGTGAAAAAGGTAGAAGTTGGCAGTGAACCCTTTGGCACAGGGGTTGACACACACAGGTCGCCGTAATCGGCGCTTTTTCTTTTCAAAAACCGGCTGCAAGCAGTTGGGTGGTGTCCTTTTGGGACGTAGAGCTGCACTAGCTCAGTGGCAGCAGCATCAGCGCTTGAAGGTGGAAAGGTGTATGTGCTGGTGCTTGTCGACATGCTTGAGGATGTGCTGGCGCTTGTTGACGTGCTTGAGGATGTGCTGGTGCTTGTCGACGTGCTTGAGGATGTGCTGGTGCTTGTTGACGTGCTTGAGGATGTGCTGGTGCTTGTTGACGTGCTGGAGGATGTGCTGGACTTTTGTGCTTGCGCTTGTTCTGCTTGTGCTTGATGTTAGCGAGAAACTGGAGGAGGTGGATGTGATGGTTGCTGTTGCGGATGTGC